TCTGCTTGGCCACGGGAGTTAATAAAACGAAGTAGTTTTAGTAAAACAACGCAAGTTTTAGATCAGCCAATGACAGAACGGTGGGGAAGCTTACTTTTACGTCGAGTGCAACTTCAGTTTAGGTTAAACTTTGGATGGTTTTAGGAGCTAAAACAACGGGCAAAATATGTGAAAAGCACAATACATGTACTTCGAAGTAGTCTGCAAATTTTTAAAAATTCAAGCTGCTTTAATTTCAATGTATTGTAATTGGAATTTGCGCGACGGCTGTCACGCAGAATTTGATTGGCTAAAATTGAGTCTATTACCAAAAGTACTCACTTGCATTGACGAAGACTTCCGCACGAGCCGGATCAGATACAAGTCGAAGCTGAGATGGCCGGGCAGTTCGCTTCCTCGAATTACCATCACACAGGTTTCATATGTACAACGCCACTGGTTCAAAGTGCTGTGACACATCATCTTCTGTAGGATGCGTGGGCATGACAAGTCCAGTCTCGTAGCAAACGCGCTCGAACTGGTTCATCATAACTTCCATAGCGACAAGACTTTGCGCTGCCGCGTGGATGCCAAGTCTAAAGGTACGATGTATCGATATGGTGGATGAGAGCTACAGTGTTTCCTAGCCACCACAGTCTCCAAGCCGAAGCAAAGTCCACGGATGGGAATTCAAATTCCAATGGCAATTTCGATAGCCTGCCATGTCAGTTGTGGAGAACGGTTGGGGTTGTTGTGGTAGGCACCGGTGACGACCCAGGGGGATCAGCTGGTTGGGGGCCAAGTCTGGCAACGAGGTCCGATAATGTTGATTCCAGGTATTGTCGTGTAATAATCCCAGCAGATACCCCATGATCCTCCATGAGTGCACCCAATCGTGTTGAAATTGTGTCGGGTAAATCCGTTATCGCAGTGTGGTTTTTCTCAAGTGACTTGAAAATGTCGACGTGGGGGGATTCCTGTTGGGGTGACACGGTCGGATGCAATTGTAACATGGGCTTTGAGTGTTGCCAAAATGGATGAATTCGCAAAAATTGCTGACGACATTAGTGGATGCTTTGCAGGCATGACTTGAACCAACCAATCATGATGATAAACGAGGGAAGCCAAAAAATAGGATAGGACCTTCTACAAGTGTGATTCGGGAACGTGATAGCAATTGCATAACGGACATTGTCATCCATAGCAGGTGGAAAGTGAGGCGGCAAAATTGCAAACTCAGATTTGTGATTTGGTAATCCAGCCACAACACGACCAAGATACTGGTCTCCAGCGCGTTCATAATGCACGTATCGTTCCAACACATGGCCCAAAGTCCAGCCACAACGCAAACACATTTTTGCCATAGATGGACCACTTGTGCTGCCAGAACACGCAAACGTCGCAACGCCCTTCCGAATGGAATGGGTACCGATGGCTCCACACTCTGACCCACCAGACACAGCAACCAATCGTGATAAAGTCTTTCCAAAGCGGTCACGCTGACAACCACCAGGGAAGAGAGGTCCAGGAGCCAATTGAGGATGGCTTGCCAAATACACTCCAATGGCCAAAAATACACATGTCGCTGGTTTCATTGGGTTAGTATAAAGGTGACCAGGGTCGCGATTTTTTTCACCGGTTTGGTCAGTTTTGCTTTTGCAGAAAATAATTCCAATTGCATCCTCCTCGAAGGAGATGTGATCAAACAAAATAGTTTGCGTCGACTTTGAGCGACACATCAGATTCCACGACAGTGACAAAAAAAAGATGCGCAAATCCACCATCGATGAGCTGAAAAGACTCAAAACTGAGAGTTTCGTACATGGAATCTCCCAATGGCCGTTTTCCAGACTCTTTGACACCACCTGATTGAGATCGCTCGGCGTAATGGCGACGCATGCCTATGTAGACATTTCACAGTAATGAAGCATATTATTTTGAGATACCTTGAAAAAGATCTTTCATGTCCTCGTCGTATTCACGTGGTACTGCTACTCTCTGTTGTTTATAGTAGTCTTTGATGGCAGACCTGTAACGAGCTAGGGTCCCTGGCTTGTTGGAAGTGTTTTGAAATGCCCACTGAATGAACAGAAGAAAGTGATCGTACGTGAACACAGTCAAGTCGATGCTGCCGATGGATGTGAGCATGTCCGGAGTCCCATGAGCGAGAATCCACTTCTTGATTTGGTTCAAGCCGCTTCTGTATCCAGCTATTGTGGATTTGGGCACCCACATACCTCGGATGTCCTGCAGTGATGTATCATGCCTCGTGGTCGCAGACATGCCGGTACTGGAATCTGTTGAAAGTGACCTTGATTTTGGCCAATTAAATTTTTCGCGACACGTGTCGCGCAAAGTCGTTTCACTTTTATCAAAATGAAATATACTGCCATTTGTATAGTCTTGGACCCAAGATCTTTGCCGGAAACGGAATTTGCGCGACGCCCATCGCGCAATAAGCCGATTAACCGGACGGTTGTCGCGCAAAAACTGTGTTATGCAAGCCAATCCGACACAAGTAAATGCTTGGATTCTCCATGTTGCGAAGGCACTTTATGTCTATGACAATTCGCGTTTAGCTTCCACCAAACTGGGATTCATCATCTTTTATTCAAGACGAAGCGATTAAGAAAAGAATGAGCTAAATCCGCCCAGTATTTAACAAACAATTGATTTGTTTTGCCCAAACGCACGGTAGTAAGCCTTTCCTTCGCAGCGTGACTGTTGCACAACTACGCGGCACTTCATGACCGGTATAGCAACTGCTGCCATCATAGCTAAGTTTGATCTCGCCAAGGATAGATCCGATGCAAGGGAACTACAGCAGTCAGGCATGGAGAGGCAGCGAGCTCACCACAGTGCTTCAACCTTGTTGACAGTATCCAAGTACAATACAATAACCTGTGATTGGTTACATACATTTATTTATAGCCAATCACAAGTTGTGTCACGTTATTTTTCAATTTGTAGCCTCGAGCTCACTGGCGTCGGCCACTACTTTGCAGGGAAGGGCTCGTGCCCAAGCAACCTTCAGCTTCTGCTGCAAAACATGCTACATTCTATCTACTACGTAGGATATGGCTATGCTACGCCTGGTTCCGTGCAGAAACAGCAGCAATAAGACCAGACCGATAACATTGATTTCCAGTTGCGTCGGCTTGTGGCGTAGTATGTATTTCAGCCTAAGCAACAAACCGACAAAGTTTCGCCGAGGACGAATGGCGGCTTGAAGTAAACTGCGCACGATTGAATCATGGCCTCCAGGCTTCAATTACTCATTCGCTATCTGCTAGAAGGCTATGCTGCTAACGTTACCCTATATTTAGACCAGCTATGGCCATCGTCTACAAACTCACCGACAATAGTTTGACAGTTGACACCCTCAACTTCCCAGGACATGACTGAATTTGGGATTCACCCTGTTCTGTTAGAGAACAAACATCCCCACTGACCTGTCCGGCAGGTAGCAGTGTCTGCTAGCTGTGTAAGAGGTTTTTGTGCCTTTTAGCGTCGTTTCCTCGGGTAGAAGTAAGCGCAGACATCTGTCACCGAACATCAATCATAGGATGTCGTGGCGAATTCTAGTCTAGTTTTGATTGGCTGTTTCTTTGCAGTCAGAAGTAATTCACTTCCAGTTCTCCCTTCTGCTGCTCACTACAGTATTCCACTGCCGTCTTCACTCACTGTCAAATAAAGTAATCGTAGTCTCTTAATATGAGCAAATAGTATACGAATGTATTACTAACTCCTGGGCATTTACCACGTCAAAAATCGTTTATAACCGGATACATTTGTATACATTGTGAGGATGACTCTGTGGAAAAGACCAATTTTCTGTGGAATAGCCCAACTCTTCTGTGTGATGTACAATTTGATTGTGCCGAAGGCTTTCCCGCGGTTCCAACTCCGGTAGCGACACTGTGCAGATAATTGAACTGTGGACCTTCCTCTTATGAAGCGACTGCTCTCCGATCGAGCTGCAACATAGAAAGCCCCAACGTTTGTTGTTGCCTGTGAAGTCATTCCAGCATACCGTAGTGCGTAAATCAAAAGTTGCACCCACCATTGAAAATTTATACTTCAAGTACAAGTTTTCACATGATAGTGGGTGGTACTTGGTCGAACCACTCCCTTTGTAAATTATATGGTACTGGCACCTGGCGCTCCATGAAGACTCCCAAATGTACTACTCCTTCATGACCCCCTTTGGAGTGTACACGCCCACAAGAGTGCTTATGGTCCAGACCGACGCGGTGGTGTTCTGTCAGTCGGCGGTGGACTTCATGTTTGCCGACCTACTGTTCAAGGGACTCCTAGCCTGGCTCGACGACATGCATGGCTACGACGAGACCCCTGAAGACGTACTCGACCAAATCCTCACGATCTGCTCCTCCTTCGGCCCGAAGCTCAACCCGAAGAAAGATGACTTCTTCCTGACCAAGGCCGTCTGGTGCGGCAAAGTCGTTTGAACTGAAGGCGTCCAGAACTCACTGCCGTTAACTGGGACGTCAGCCATCTGGCCTACTTTGACAAGATCAAGGAAGCTCTCTTGACGATGGTTCCCATGGCGCATACACGGGCAGACATGATGGTCTGCCTTTACACCGACGCAAGTGAGGTATTTGGGGCGCATTTGAAGACCTGGCCCTGCCGTTGGATAAGCAGCGCCACCAACCGTTGGTCTTTCTCAGCGGTGTCTTTACTGGCGCAAGCGAGCGTTGGCCAATCGTGGAGAAGGAAGCGTTTGCCGTTGTGAAAAGCTGCAAGCGACTGGACTACCTTCTTATTCGCCCAGCTTGCTTCCGCCTTTTCACCGACCACAAGAACCTGCAGTATATTGTCAATCCTGCCGGCCAGTCCCCAAGAATGGCAAGGTACCAAGCGCAGAAGTTGGAGCGCTGGGCCCTGGTACTTTCCTCGTTCCCCCACACAATCGAGTGCCTGCCCGGTGAAGACAATGTATGGGGCGACCTGCTCAGCTGCTGGAGCGCCGCCCAAGCCCAAGTGCCAACGAAGTTCATCCGGCGCCTCCTGGTCATAGTGTCGCCCTTGCAACAGCCCGAATTCGACTGGCCCAGCTTTGCCAGTATCGTCAAGACCCAACAAGTGGTTGTGAAGAGAGGAGAGACCCCGCCAACCGGCGTGGCGTGGAATGAGGACAAGAACCTGTTCCTCGACAAGGAAGACCGCATCTGGATCCCATCAAGTGCAGGACCTCCAGCAGCGGGTCGGCATCATAGCGCACCAAGGCGCCGCGGGCCATCGACGGATCGAAGACATCCCCATCGTTTTCCGCCGCTGGGTTCACCAACATGAAGACCAACATGAAGTGAAGAAAATGGCCGCTGAACTCGAGAAGACCTTCGAACACTCCTTTTAGGGAGAAGTGTTCTGCATGGCGCTGCCGTGGAAGCCCCGTACTGTAGTTGCTTCACTATCGATGAATATGATCAATATTCCGGCCACACTTAATATTTGTATGATCAAATTTTGGCCAATGAATCGTCTCATTTATCTATTTCTACCTATCATATTGTAGTAGTATCTCGCACGAGATTTAGGTGGTTTTCAGTCTGACCACACGATAGCAAGGGCCATAACCACGTCGACGACGATTCATTGTTTCCGTTTACACTGTTCCTGGAGGTTTTTGGGTTCGACTTAGCGTAGTTACTGGTACGTAGCGCACCTCCACCTGCGCATAAGTGCTGTGTGCTCAAACGAAGCATATAAAATGAGTCTAACATTCTTACCGGTACACTGGTGGAACTCTACATTGATACCCAACAGCTTACCCAACGTTACAAATGTATTGAAGTTCTTCTTGGGTGCGAGCACTCAGGTATAGTCGTGTGGGCGGTAAAGTGACCAATCGTCCCAACTACAGCCTCGCCCTTGATCATGCGTTACAACTTGTGATTGGCTATAAATATACTTAAGCAACTACGTAGTACTAGTACTAACGTTAGCGTAAATCCTACCAGTACAACCACAACTCTCTAGTTGCCACACCACAACGTTCCATGTTTATGGCTGTAGTATTCGCAGTCGTCCTTGCAGAAGTCATCCAAGCAGTAGTCAGCGCCAGGATAGTAGCAAACGCCGCACGTGGCACAACCCGGCTTGGGGGAGGCAGTCGTGGGCCTCATCGTGGTCGCGTTGGGCATGGTGGTAGGTTTGGTCGGGCCAGGGACTGTGGTGGTACCAGGGGCCGATGTGGGGGACTTCTTGAGGTACGGCTCAATGAAGTCGCGAGCCATCGAGATGCGGCTGTACACTCCTGGCTTGTTTTGCTCGGCACACCCAATGCCCCAGCTGACCACCCCCACCAACTTTACAGAACCGCTGGTTTCCACCGTCAAGGGTCCACCCGAGTCGCCTTGGCACGCATCTTCGCCCTCCTTGCCGCCGGAGCACAACATGCTGGCATCGACGGCTACGTCGCTTCCATTAGCCATCCACTTGGTGCACTGTTCTTGGTTGACCGTATCCAGCCCGACTTCCAACAAGACCTTGGACATAGACCCCTCCGAACCCGTGGTACCCCAGCCACGCACAACCGTGGGGGTGTCGGCTGCCACAGTGTCGAAGGACACTTCCACGACCGGGAACTTGGAGTCGCACTCCAAAATCAACACGCCAATGTCGTACG